GTTAGAGCTTCCTTAAAGGTTATACCTTCAGGTCCTTCTTTCCTGGCAGCCTTTGGGGCTACATCTTGTTCCATCCTTTGGCTTTGTCTTTTCTCGCCTCTCTGCTTTGGTTTGGGTTTTTCTACCCAGGTACCTTCAGCCATCTTCTTTTCTCGGGCAAGTTTCTTTTTCTGTGCACCAGATAGTCTTTTTTTAAGTTTGATCCCATCCATGGAGGCAGTCATGCTATTAATAGCTTCCTGCCCCACTTGAGATGTTGATTGGGTAGAGGTCATTTCTACCTCTTTTGATGAAGGGTTCATTTTATCTCCTTCAGTTGGTTTTTCCCTAGTTTCCTTTTCTTTTGCAGAAAGGTCTACTTTGGGATTTTCACCTGCAAATGCAGTAATTTGAGTTGTATTTTTGTCATTTTCAGCCATAAATTACCTCAAATAAAAAGCTCAGGTAAAGAAAGTCAGCCCAGCATTGCCTGAGTTACTGGGTAAGGCAATTACTCTAGATGTTCGCCAGTCAAACTAGAGGCTCCGTTAAGACACTATAACCGCAGTGCCATTCACCCAAGGCACGGGTCGCGTAACACCTGGGTTACGGGAGTTGGTTCGCGACCTCCTATTTGTTATTCAGAGGCTATCCTGTCAGTGCTACAGGACATTCGGCTATCCACCACCTGCCGTCGCGCCTGGTAGCCGCTCAAGCCCCAGGAATAAGCTTATAAATTACATGTTTTAAATTATAATGATTTATAAAACTATTGACTAAAGTAAACAACATCAGGTTTTCTGTCTGCATCTATCATTTATGTTACCAATGTAGTTACTTAAACTGATTAACACTGATCCAGATGTGCCAACCCTCTGGCTTTTTGCAAGTTATTTCCTCCTCCAGGATTTTCGCTTATTTTAACGCTGAACGAAATTTTCCTTCATATGCGTCTCAATTGTGTCAGAGCTGGGCGTGGCCTGAGTGATGACGTTTATCGTATGTCTTGGCCAATCAAGAGCGCTATTTCGCCTTTCCTTTCTGCGTCTGCTATTAGTAGAATAACTGCTGAGTCAGGCTTCTCTTTGTAAATACTGCTTTGTGATTGACTGCTTTTGGAAGCAAGAACGTTCTTTGTATGCACTGAGAAATTATTTTCGGATCGCTTTCGTTGTACTCTGAAGTGAAGAGAAGTCAATATCAGCAACTTCGAATTGAAGTTTGTTTTTATGCTCGAGCATTCGTTTTTCTGCCTTATTAGTCAGTTTTCTGTGTAGATATATATAATGGCGGCGAAAAAAGTTAATATGAAATACAGTAGAGAACCATTTATCCGGTATCCAGAAAACCGGGAAAAATTTGGATCGGTTTTCCTGCTATTTTAAACTAGAACGATTATGAAAAAAAGCGGAAATTGAACTCATCCTTGAAGTTGAGTAGAGGAAAATGTAAGGAAGGGGAGAATTTTTTTCCCCGTTTATCCATAGAAACGTCATTTTCCTCCGTGACCTTGAAGGTAGGGAAAGGAAGAATGTTTTATTTTTTTCCTTTAGGCCGTCAATCAAGCTCAAGGGTGTGGCATGCTGATTTCGTTTTCTGTTTGATTTGCGAGGGGGGTGGGGAAAATGCATTGCATGCATATCAGTGAACAGAAGATGAAAGAAAAAAATATATTTATCTATTTGACATCGATTAAAAAAAATAAAATCTTTTTTTTTCTGAATAAATTCTCATTCTTTGGAAGTACGGTATCATTTGCAAGTTTCTATTGATGTGGAATCACATCTGCTGTAATTAAATATTGTGTTTTTATCAACAAAAAAAAATAAAAGGAGAATTGTTTATTAATTTAAACATAGGATTATTTTATGAAGCAGATTGCAGTTTTGTTTTTCTAATTCCACTACTATTGATTTTTTTTTCTTTTCACGATAAATTTCGCACTCAATAAATTAATTCTTTTTATAATTAATTTTATTATAGTTTTTTTTTTTAAGAATTCTGTTGATCTTGCCTTGTTCCGGGTTTTAATATTTATGCTACTGCCTTTTTTAACTATCGTTTCGGTTCGATAATTTTCAAGTGTTTTTATTTAATTTAATAAGTTTTCCTTTTATTTTATCGTTTCCCCCGTATAATTAGGAATGAAATATATTGCGTTATTTAACCATTGGTTTTGTTCATATTAGTTAATTTAGGAATTGTAATTATTTTCAAAAAATAAATACGAGAATTTGTTTTATTTAAACTTGTTTTTCTTGTCTAAACTTGCAAATTTTTTTATTCTTTTAAATGTTATTTTCTACCATTTTTTTTTCTTTTTAAAGTTTGGAGTACCTTTCTTTTTTCTCTTACTTTATGCATTAGGCTTTTTCCTTGTAATACGGGTTCGATACAACATCAATTAACTACACTTTTTGGTCGATCCAGAAAACCGGGAAATTCAGACATCCAGGATAGCGATGGTCCCGATCGTTCCGGATAATCGGTTCTCTACTGTATTATATTTTTTAAAAATAACAGATATTTTAACCTATTTATTTTTAAACAAGAGATCACTAGCTTGAATCAATTTATAGTTAACTAAATGAATTTCCTTCCTGTTGTTGCTATTTAGCATTATAGATATTAATATTGACTGTTGTTTAATTTTGATATATAATTTTAACAATATAAATAACTTTTTGAATTATTAATTATGTACTAAATAAAGTCTCCCTTGAGACAAAATGTTGTTTTTAAAACTTTTGTGTCTTATTTTGCATGTTTAACTGTTGCGTGATCATTTTTCTCTTCCTTAGGAAAACCTCTTTTTTCATTTTCCCAGGTTGGCACGTCTGCTGATCTTGTACTAGTAGTAACCACTTATGGTTATAAAATAAGTTTAAAAAATAAATAAATTTACTGAGCTGGTTTGAAGCGAAATGCCTTAATTAAACCTAGTCCTCTCTACTATGTATGGTATTAAATCCCATTGTTGTGTTAAAACTTTTGACTAGTATTTAATATATTTCAAATAATGTGAGTTTTTAATAACCTTTGATGTTGCATCTATCTTTAGCAGATTAGAACATGCGTATCTACTATATTTGAATTTCTTGGAGATGAGTCTCATAATAATTCTAAACTAGCGCTTGTGAAAGGTGCTCATTTGTCAGTCGAGTGTAAATGGTCAGAAGTTCGAACTATATTAGAGCCTCTACCTATTGAATGCATTTGTTTTGTTGTAAGTATTAATGATACTTTTATTTCTGTAGCTAGTGAAAATCTATTTATAAATGCTTTCACTTATAAAGTTTCATTTGAGTTCTAAAAAATGTTCTTATTTGCTGATCTAATTTCATTTTATTTATTTTTTTAGAACATGTTCATTTTTCGAATTTTGTTTAGATCATGTAGGTTTTGAACGAACTGCCATAGACAATTTTGACCCATCATATGTATTTTTATATTATTATCAGAAATCTGAAAATTTTTACTAAACTTTTTCAAATGTTTTTGATTAGGAGTTTTTTTTTTTTTTTAATTTTGCACTAAACTTGAATCAATTGCTTATATGGTGTCTTGCTGTCCAATATAAGTGTAAAATGCCAAATGGAGAAGTCTCTCTAGTATCAGTATATTTTAAATTAATTGGGAAAAATAAAGAGATAATGTTTATTTATAGAACTATCCTCACTCAAAAGGCATGGAACAGAAGTTGTTAAACAGATTCTGTTGTAATGCTCTTAAGGGTAATCATAGCTAGTCAGATATATGAAAACATACGACACCTGCATGGGTGCAAGTGTTCCGTCCCCAGGACGGATTTCCGTCTTTCGAAAGTGTCCGCGGACGGAAGTAAGACGGAAACAAGACAGACTTGAAGACGGAAATCGGAATTTTTTTTTCCCTGTCCTTAAAAATATTTTTTAGGTCTACGTTATTGGTCTACTTTCTTATGTCCTGTTGTTATTTTATCAAAAGACAGATGAATAAATATTTTTTGTACAGTATTTAAACTTGATGTATTATGGTAAAGCTTTCTTAGACAGTTTGCATATGTCGAGGGGGTATTGCGTATGTTAGGTATTTCAGTCAAAAAAATTTTCAGTCTTGGCCTTTTTTCCAACTTGCACCCATGGACACCTGTCTTCCTTTGTAAATCAGGAGGAATCCTATTTTGACTCAGTTTGCACTCCCAACTTAGCCATTCAAGAATATCACTGTGCTAAAGTTTCCTGGTGTCTGTAATTTTTGAAATTCTAATATATTACCTTAAAATACCGATTAAAGGACCTCCAAATTTTGACATAAGATATGTAAAATACCAACTACTATTGTTAGATTTACAAAATCAACATGTGTCAAAAATAGTAATAATAAGGAATTTGAACTATGAATAAAATCAAAAATAAAAATATTTATTTTTCCTAAATTTGCAAATGTGGGCTTTTTTTTTTTCACTCCTACTATCAATAACATTAGGGACAATTTTATTTTGTGTATCTTTATACATTTTAAACTCAAATTAGTTTCACTTCATTAATGTTTATAAACTTCGTAAATTTAAGAAGATTTTCTTTAATGAGTCCTTTTGTATATTTATACTTGTAAAACAATACAAAACTGGAAAAATTATGTAACATATACCAAGTAAATATTCTGTCAATAAGCTCAGCTGTTTGTTGGAATTCAAACCTTCAGGTAACAATATAATCACATTTAATGGCAGACACTGTTAATTATAGAAATGTAAGTTTTACCTCCAATCGTTTTTGGTTTTTTAATTGTTCTTTGAAGTTTATACTAAGTTTAGAAAAATGCCTTTGAATCAATAAATTTACCAAAAGAAAAATGCTATTTTTCTGAAAAATTCTAAAAGCTCTTTTTTTTTATTCAATTATTTATTATCATAAAAAAAGATTTCAAAATGCCATTGTTTCTACAAATCAGATTAGTTTAATTTTTAAGACGTTAACCCATTAACAGTTATTTAACAACTGATAATGATAGTTTTATGTTGAATTTCGATCAACAAAATCTATATATTGTTCTTCAAACTAAGATTTATGAAATTGGGTGAAGCAGAAAGTTAAAATAATTGATGAATGAAATAATTCTTACATGTTTTTTTATTGTTCTTAGAAACTAAAAGCTGTTGCTGGTGATGATGAAAGTGGTGCTTTTCTCAGGTATAAAGAAATCAAGCTTATCAAGGTGATTTACTAGTTTTGTTGATATAATGCATGTCTTTTCTTTGATTGCATTTATTTTCTTTGTTGATAAATATTTTGATGTATTCATTTTCATTAGTAAAATCATGTATCCTGCTATCTTGATCTATTAAATGTTAGCTTAGATATAATATTTGGAAGGAATTATAGAAATATACTGGTATAGGTCATACATTATTAGCTTCTTGAAAATTAGCTTCAATCTAAGAAAAAAAAATATTTTAATTAAATTTTTAACTTCAGAATGCTCCAGTTATTTTAGCTTTCCAGTTAGTCAAATATCAGATAGTCTGGCCTTTATTGTAGTTGTTAAATAATAGTTTGATAAGCATTTTTTTCTTCCTCAATTGATGATAGGCTACAATTTTAAGTTCCTAAAAAGTTCTTGCTAGTTGGGATTACAGAATGCTTTGTATTTTACCAAAGAATCTCTTTGCAACATTAACTAAGATAAAGTAATATATTTAAAAATGAGAATCAGGCTCAAATAGTCACTATTGATAAATAAACTTGGTATTGTCACATTATTATTATAATAATGGGTGGTGATTATTGTACATCCTATATTTAATTTCTTTTTCTCCTTTTGTTCAAGCTCTTGAAACAAGGCTTTTTTCCAATATTGTTGATAGAAAAGTTAAAACGAACAACATTAACCACTGTAGAGGATTGAAATTACTCTTTTCCAACCAAAGCTCGATATTAAATTAATTATTTCAGCTTCACTTCAATTATTTTTGCAGCTATTGAGGAAATATGACTGAATTTACTGAAAATATGTTAAGTCATGCAATTACTTACCTGAAATATGAGTTGTTCTTACTCACAATTTCTTAACTATTTTGAAAGTCACTGAACTGGCTGGAGTCAATTTATTGTATGGCTGTATCCACAGGGTGGCCACCCACTTGGAATTATCATTGAATTTTTTTATACTGTAAATATCTAAGAAATTTGGTTAACACGTTCGCTGCGACCGACACGCTGGCGCGTCTGAGCGGCATCTCCTGATATGCCAACGACACGCTGGCGCGTTGATCGACTATGATAAGTTATATGCTCTGTGTATAGTGTGGCTTTGGAAGTTGAACGGAGAGGTTGTTTCGGCACGTTGGTGAAACATTATTTTTTGTGGTTGGTTTTTTAAAAAAATTTCGAATTTTTTTATGTGCATGATTAAAAATGGCGGATGATACAAGTGTGGCAAGATCGTCACAGCCCAAGAAAAGAAAAGTAAATAAAATATTGACTGATGCCAAAATATTAGAATTGTTGCAAAATAGTGACCTTTCGGATTATGATAACACAGGCGAAGACTACAGTTGGAAATCTTCGGACGCATTGGATGTGTGGGTTTAACCCACAAAGCAGAATACGCTTAAATGATGAAAACACAAGTAAACTGGAACACAACATTTACTAATACTTTAAATGTTTAACTTAAATCTGAAAATCGTAATGTTGAATAAATATGTACAGAATCATCATCATCTACAATCTTAATCCTATGACGGATATCGGCCACAGACTAAAAAGAAGGGCGAGTTGTTCATACTTGCATGAAAAAATTGTTCGTTCTTTTATAGAGCATGATGTCTTACATCACATTGCTTAACTGATTATTTCTTTACTTATCTTCACTTCTATCCTGGAGACGAATCTGCAAAAGACTGAAACACTAAAGTTTATAACTTGAATTTACTTATTTCCACATTCGGCCCCCTTTATCAATAAAATACTGACATTTTTCTTTACTTAAAGCTTTCGTGAGAAAATCTGCTAAATTGTCTTTACTACAGATGTACTCCAATTTAAACAATTTTTCTTCTAGCATATCGCTAATCAGCTGATATCTTACGTCTATGTGCTTAGTTTTCGCATCTTCAATCGAATTTTTGGAAAAATAAATTGCAGCTTTATTGTCACAGAGTTGAATTAGTACAACTATATTTTGTAATATATTCAATTCATTTAAAGCTCTTGAAAGCCAAATAATTTCTTTAACAGATTCTATAAGTAAGATGAATTCGGATTCCATAGAACTAAGAGCTACACACTTTTGTTTACTCGATTTCTAAGTGAATGGTATACCTGCAAAATATATTATATGCCCACTTGATGAATATCTGTTAGTTAAATTGCATCCCCAATTAGCATCAGAAAAAGCTACTAAGTTATTTTTATTTACACTTCACAAGTTAATTTTTAAATCTTTCGTATTAAACACATAATTTAATAAATCAACAACTATATTCCAATGTTGATAAGAATAACCATTACAATATTGCGATAAAATATTAACTGAAAATGCAATATCAGGTCTACTTCTTTTTTCTGAAAAAGAAAGACATCCAATAAGAGTTCTATATGGGAATTTTTTCATTAAATCTGTTTCAAAATTTCTTCTTTAACTTTAGGTGGTAATTTAATTCCAGGTTTTAAGGGCAAATTTACAAAAGTTTTAGGTAATTCTTCAAATTTCTTCATTAACTTTTCAATATAAGTTACTTGATGTAAATAAACACTATCATTTACGGTTTCAAAGTTTACACCTAACAAATATTTCAATTTGCCTAAATCTTGAATTTCTAATTTACTTAGAAGTAAATCAACAGCTTCATCAATTTTGTTTTGATCTTCCCCAAATAACATGATGTCGTTGACATGTACCAAAAGAATAACTTTAGATTTTAATTTATAAACACAAACAACTTTCTAAACAGGAAAATAATATGTTTCTTCGTTTTTCTGGTTTTCCTAGTAAAATATAAAGAACATTAAAACCCTGTTTTGTAATCCTGCTTCTGAGGATGGATATTATAATTTTTAGTGATAGCAAATGTGTTAAAAACCTGAAAAAATCAGAATTTTTAAAAATTAAAAAAAGCTTGAATTGTTTTCTGAATTTAAATTATTTTGCCATCCATTATACCCCCTTTTTTTAGAAGGAAATTTATCACCAAACAGTTGAAATATCTTGCTTTAAAATTTGCTTCATTATAACCCCGTTAAACTAGAATGCCACACAAAACTCTCCTATGGTTGCTAAATTAATGGAGACTATTATGTTAGAGACTGAAGAATGGATTAGGATATTTGCTTCTGTTTATAAAAATGGTTTTTTTCTTCTAGTCCATGAGCTAAATTTATTTATCATTCAAATTTGTTCCAATGCCTTGGGAGTATTTTTTCTTTTAACAGAATCATGAACAGTTGATAATAATTTAATAATGGATTTTTTATTGCATTCTTTTTCTAAAAGCTTTTGTACTCCCATCTAATGAAATTGGTAAATTATTTTTTCTCAATAAAGCCAACCAAGCATTCATTTTCTTACAATCGCTAGCAGCAATGTTTGTGGTCAAATCATTACTATAGTTCCATTGATGCTAATTTTCTCAATTTCATTTTGACCTTTAATAACACATTTTATTAAAAAAAAAAAGTTCTTTTATGAACCAACTGTATGATAACATTTGATTTTACTGTTTTGTTGGTAAATATTTAATTATTGATTAAAAATTCAAATTGTGTAGTAATGACAATGTGGAAAGTTCATAAATTTTGCTTGCATTCCAGAGGTGATAACCATTTCTCCTTTTACCCTAAAAGAGCTGGCAGAAACTAAGGAGTGTATGGGAACCATGTTAAATGACGTGTAAACATAGAATATAAAATAAAAACAATTGTATGTGATTATTAGGAAGAAAAAAAAATTTTTTTTTGTTCTGCACTACACAGGTACGAAATTTTAGTTGAGCAATTCCACGGTAAAGTCAACCAGATAACCAGCATTTTAAATTTAATATTTTTAATCAAACACAATATCATTTTCAAGCTGAGAAACTTGAGATTTAAAACTAATGACTTTTAACTTATAAATATCAGTTTTAAGTTAGTTATATTCTGGTTAATGAAAGGCTATATCATTAGAAATTTTTAACTATAATAAGTGAATCTGTAACAAGTGCAGTTTTTTTTTAATAATTCACACTAATAATATAAAATACATTAAATAATAATTAAAGCGAACTGTAACAAGGCAGGTTATCTTGCACAAATGTGTAAAAACATATCAAATTCTCAATGCACTTTGTCATCCCACTGTGCCACTAGGATATAACATAATTAAATTATTTTTCCTATTTAAATCAGGATTCTAAGTCTTATTTGTATAGTCTATTTTGATTGAGAAAATAATAAATGTTTTGCTGTAAATTAATAATTAATTTTTTTTATGTTACATCCGTTTTTATCTATTTTCATCTCTTATTTCCCTTTTTCTTAATAAAATCCAATCTAATATTCTTTTAAGTTAATTTAAAGCAATGTATTTCACCTCAGTACCGTAATAAAATCTGCTTAACTATGCTGTACTTAAAGTACAGCATATCGATGAAGTTTTTTTTGTGTATTTCCTTTTATTTATTTGAGGTATGAGGTTTCTTTTAGTTATTTAAACTAAATTTTAATTTTTTGAGAAACAATTTAACTTCCTTTAGAACATTTTAAATCAATAATTTTACTTTAAACTTGAAAAGTGTATGTATTTAGAAAACAATGTCACCTTGAGGACATTGTTCTTTGGTTTTCTTTTCTGCAGAAATGTTGGGGAAAAAAATTTCTCCAAAAATCATTCTTTTGACTCGTTCAGTTTTCATCGATGTTCTCTTTTGTCCATGCGGTATTTTAATCATTCTTTCAGCAGTTATTGCTACGAATTTTTGCTTTGTTTTTCCTAAATCCCAATATTTTTCATTGCTCAGTTATTATTTATATTCTCAAAAATTTTTGAATATACGGATATTATCACAACATGCAAAATTCAAATTGGGGATTTAATAAATCCTTCTTTCACGCGCTTCTTTTTGTCAATATTCTGGTTGATCTACGCGGTGTTTCAATTGTTCTTTGACAGTTATTGCTATGAATTTTCACATTTTTTTACAAAAACAAATCATATTTTTTATAAAATTTAATTAGATGCGAAACTCAAATCAATTAATTACTTTTAATGTCATGATTTCATCCTATTTTCAACTTTTTATTACTAGTGCTACTGAACTCCACAAGGATTTCAAAATTCCGATTATTTCTCAGTTAATATTATTTCTTCACTTAAAACTTAAATTGCACGTTTAAATAATCAGTTTTTGACGTGTTCACTTTACGGCTATACTATCACAAATCCATGTAGTAGTAGTGTTTCAATTGTATTTTCAGCAGTTATTGATTTAGATGTGGTTTTTAAATATCCCGATATATCTCTGACAACATGGGAAATTTGAATTTTGCTCATGAATATTTAATTTTTAAAGCAATGGTTCTATAGCTTTTCTTGAGGGGCAGGGGCATTTAATTACACAGTTTTTAAAATAACATATTTGAAGTACGATATTATTTATTACAACTACCAAATCTTTAAACAAAACATGCATTTAGTACCTCCTTTTTGAAAAGTTCAATTCGCGGTTTTCATCATCGATCTTTTTTTTCTTTGTTATCAAGGGCGCCGGAAGAATAATATAAAAGGGGGTGCAACTCTCTAACAAACTACCCCCCCCCCCAAAAAAAATTTAATATTCTTTTATTACATTTTGTTTTGTTATTACATATACTTTCATCTGTTAATTTTTTTCAAGATACATTTCTTCATTGTTTTAACAAGATATTTAAAAAAAAGTACGACTTTCTTGTACTTACAAATTTTGCCACAAGAAACTGTATTGATGGCGCTGGCATAGCTACTGACTTTGAAACACAAATAACTACAAACCGTAGTTTTGTATACTAACGTGCTTGTGCACGCTTATCATTGGCATTTATTGTGTTGATGAAGTTCTGTAGTTGTGAGAAGTCAGTTTGTGTTATACATCTTTGTTAAACTAAATAACTAATAGAAAATATAATATTATTTATATTTTATTAAATGAAATTTAAAAATATAGCTTAGATATCTGCCAAGTTTGTGCATGCTCAGTGTGCATAAGAAAAGAATCAACGATGACTCAGAATTCATTGAAAAAGTTATAAACAGATTTGGACAGCAAACAAGACGATTACAATTCTTGTTTGATTAAACAATTTTTTAATTGTTATGTATCAATAATTACTTAATTATTTGCTTTTTAATAAAAATATTTTTAATAAAATTTTTTTA